GCGACTGGGCGCCTCCTGATTGGGCGAAGGGTCCGTGGCTCCACCCCCTCCGCTCTTCCTCCTGCCAGCTGAGGTTGCGGGCGGAGGAACGCGCATGCGCTTGCCGAGCCCCGAGCGGGAGGTTCCGGCGTCGTGGTCGTTCCCCCCGCCTTCCACGGGGCCAAACGTGAAAGACGCCCCGCTCGGAGAGGAGAGCCGCCGCGCTCCGGACTTTACGGCGTCAGGGCTGCCGTCGGCCGGCCGGCCTCGCTTCGGCTAACGGCAGGGCTGGCCCCGTTTAGAGGGACCCTGCCCGGAAGCCCAGGGGACCGTCGCGCGTCGTTCGCCGGTGGAACTCCAAGCCACACGAAGCCGTCACGGCTTCCAAACGGCTTCCTGGAGGAGGAGGCGGAGGCACAATCCCTGGGATGGCCGCCCCCTCTTCTCTCCATTACAGAATGGGCCGCAGACATCAGATGTCTTAAGATTAAGGATCTTTTTTTTAGTAATTCATTTTTTAATATATTAAAACTAAAATTTATTTATTTATTTAATTTATATCCCGGCTATCTAGCCAACTCAGGGCACCTCTAGGCGGCTAACAATCATCAAATAATTAAAATATACATATATAAACAGCAAATAATAAAAACTTAGAAAGATAGAAACCAAATAAAGAGGAAAAGAAAAGGAGAATCAGGGATTGTCTGGAGGAAAGGCCTGCCGAAACATCCATGTCTTCAATTGCTTCTTAAAGACACCCAGTGAGGGAGCCCCGCGAATGTCAGGGGGAAGGTTATTCCAGAGGCGAGGAGCCACCGCCGAGAAGGCCCGATTTCTTGTCTTCTCCTTCCGGGCCTCCCTCAGCGTTAGGCTCCTCAGCCTCACCTCCTGGCTCGCTCGAGTGACACGGGTAGAACTTGGTGGGAGTAGGCGTTCCGCCAAGTATCAAGGCCCTAAAATGCAAATTCATTAATAACTACCCACAATACACATTGGACTATCCTCGCCCGTGCCATCATCTTCATTCACCCTTGGGACCAGGTGTATCCATTTATGTATTTCACCCTGTACTCCAAAAAGACATGGATTCTTCTGCCAGCCTATAGTCTTTCAGATTAATTTGTTGTTTTTCCAGTTCTTGGCAAACTCTAATCTTGCTGCTGTAACCATTATAAGAATTAACTCTTCCTGTTCTTTTTTAAGATGATCATTCGTAATTATATTTAGGAGAGCAATAATTGGTGATATCTGAATATCATATCCAATAATTTCTCTAATTTCTTTAAAAACCAGTGCTCATTCTTTCTTATTTCACGTCCAGCACATATGCATATAAGTTCCTTTTCACATCTCCAGCGCTGAGATGGTATATTTTTATTATACAGTGGTGCCTCGCTTAACGAGCGCACCGTATGACGAAATCGCATAGCGATCCATTTTTTTGGATCGCTAATGCGATCGCTCAACGAGCTTTAGATAGGGAGAAATTCGCTTTGCGAAGATCGGTAAGCGTTTTGCTTACCGATCTTCGCAAAACGAAGCTCCGACGATCAGCTGTCTGGCGGACAAAATGGCCGCCGGAAGCCCCAAAATGGCCGCGCACAGCGTTTTTGCGCCCTCCCCTCCCTTAACGAGGGCACGAAAATGGCTGCCGGCCATAGGAAACCTCGCTGAACGGTGAGTAAAGGACCCTTTTGGAACGCATTAAACAATGTTTAATGCGTTCCAATGGCTTTCCCTGTCCCGTTCAGCGATGTTTCGCTATAGCGAAGGTTAATCCGTTCCGGATTAACCTTGCTATGCGAGGCACCACGTATTCAGTATTACTGGGGTAAAGTACCATTTCCATGCTATGTTATAACAATTTTCTTTTACCCTTATAAACATATTTTTCATTATCCTTTGGGACTATTTCTTAATCCAATCCTCTTCTTTAATCTCTTCCTCAAAATCCTCCTGCTACTGGTTTTTCATCACTTGTTCAAACCAGAATGTACTAAAATCTTATAAATTATCTAATTGTTCCCTTCCTTTTGTTTCCTTCTTCTTGGTCTTGTCTACAAATACAAATAAATTTATTGTCATTGTAAGTCGATATATAGTATACACATACAACAAAATTCACAGACACCCAGAGACGATTGTTCATTACTGGTAGTCTTTAAATTCATTATTATGTGCAATTATCATCATCTAGTCGTTTAGTCGTGTCCGACTTTTCGTGACCCCATGGACCAGAGCACGCCAGGCCCTCCTGTCTTCCACTGCCTCCCGGAGTTGGGTCAAATTCATGTTGGTCGCTTTGGTGACCCTGTGCAACCATCTCACCCTCGGTCGTCCCCTTCTCTTCTTGCCTTCACACTTTCCCAACATAAGGGGCTTTTCCAGGGAGTCTTCTCTTCTCATGAGGTGGCCAAAGTATTGGAGCCTCAGCTTCAGGATCTGTCCTTCCAGGGAGCACTCAGGGTTGATTTCTTTTAAAATGGATAGATCTGTTCTCCTTGCAGTCCAGGGGACTCTCAAGAGCCTCCTCCAGCACAATTCAAGTGCAATTATAGCTCTGGGATAAAAACTACAGAAAACGTGTGGTCTGAGTCTTAATTGTTCTGTATCTTCTGCCAGACAACAACTGTTCAAAGAAGTTGTAAGCAGGATGGGAAAAGTCTCTAAGGATGTCTATGTTTATATGTGTTCTGGTTTTCTGCAATGCATCTTTGTAATGTAACTCATTTTTATTAGGTTTTATTTTTCATCAGCTACAGTAATGAGCTAGATCAGTGGTTCTTAACGTGGGCGATAATGCCCCCCAGGGGGCGATTTCAGGGGGCAGTAGAACGAAAAGGGGCGGCATGGGGCGCTGGAGCAGAAGGGGGGCGGTAGGGGGGCACTGGAGCAAGGCAAACCTGTGAAGATGGCTGCAAGCTTTGTACAATGTGCATGAATATATATTTTCCTCCAATCTTAATTTAGTTTCAGAGTTTTCGTCTTGAAATTTTTAGTTCCTGCATTACGTTTTGTTTTTATGCTTTTTTATATTTCTTTTTCTGTTGTAAAATTCGCTTGCAACTAAATCATTAAATGTTACTTTTTGGGGGCATTTCATTTTCTTGGAATTGAATTTTGTTTTCAGGTGTCATTGGGGCGATGATAACTTCCTCAATAGCTCAAGAGGGTGGTTCTTTCAAAAAGGTTAAGAACCACTGAGCTAGATTACCTCAACTTTTGTGGTATTTTTATCTTTTTCATCCATCTCCAATCTTTATCAGGAGCATCCAAGATACAAAATTAAGTTTAGGGATAATCGTCATTTTACATAATGCTATTCTACCAAGCCATGACAATTTAAATTTTTGATACTGATTTATCTGTTCATCAATTTTTTTTCAATTTATCCATATTTAATTCAGTCATTTCCTGTGATATACAGTAAATTCCTAAATATTTAATTACATGTTCTATTCTTCCTTTAAATTCCTTTTTCAATTCTTTCTTATCTACTTCAAAATAATTTGATGACATACATTTGGATTTCTCCCAGTTCACTTTCAAATCAGTTATTTCTTCAAATAAATTTAAATGTGTTCTGGTTTTCTGCAATGCATCTTTGTAATGTAACTCATTTTTATTTTGTAGTTTTCATAAGCTAGTTAGGTTTTATTTTTCATCAGCTACAGTAATGAGCTAGATTACCTTATGACGCACCCTGTTTCTGCCTGAGAGTAAGAGTAAGGAAACCTGCTGTTCAGTTCACCTCCTGCGGTGAACGGTACCAGCCAGAATTTCAGTGAGTTGCTTTATTTATTTAACACACAGATGTGGCAGAGACAGTGTGGCAGATGTCCTGAGGGGTCAGGGACACCAGCCCCCTGGACTCCAGCTGGGTGTGGTGTGGATGACCGGAAGGGCTCTTACAACCACCGCGCCAGGATGCAGCCCATCTCCTCCTCCTCCTCCTCGTCCTTGGGGACACCCACCTGGCCGCTCGCTCGGGGGGGGGGCGGGCTTTCAATACCCTGAATCTCCTTCCTGATGGTAATAGTTTAAAGAGCTGATATCCCGGATGAGAGGAGTCTTTCAGTATG